ATGGCAACATTCTATAGGTTATTCAATACATGTCCAACTTATTTGATACATGTCTAATTTATGAAGAAAGTTTCCAACATGTATAATACATGGCCAATTTTTAAATATTTACAATGCACATTATAATAAAATTATATCCTATCATGTAATCCTATGCCTTATAATAGTAGTCTTGGACAAAATTTTAGAAGCATCGTTATACTAAACATGGTTAAGATTAGACAAAGTCAATTCTTAAAAAAATAAAGAGAGAATATGACAATGAAAAGACATGTGTATGTTGTTGGAGTAGATTATGGATAACTTACAAAATATTCATGATCAAAATTTACAAATAAAATCAACTTACCAAGCTTTTAAAATTCCACAATGTGGTTTGATTACTCATATAACTACAGAAAGTAACTAACAACAAAATAATAGACTATTATACATATTACTGAGAATTAAAGTCCATCTTTACCCTTAGTTTAGAACAGGGTGTTAGGACTTTGAATAATGCCTCATATTATTGCAACGCAATCCTAATCTAAGCATCTGGTAAACCTCGTTAGTGTCGATACCAACCAGTGGGGTGGGGTGAAAGGGGGACTGCCAATGAGGGTGCCCCACTGCCAGCATCGAAGGGATGCAACCTTACTCCGGGATTATTTATTATTTTTATTATTTTGACACAATTAAAGATGTTCTTTTCTGGGTAGATGAAAATAAATACAAGCATCCCAGCTAGGTCCAGCCGGGTCGAGATACAATTACAATCTAGACTCCTTTACCATTCTAATCTAGGACTGGCTAGTTTTCTCACGCCGGGATTTCGTCCCCGGAGGGGCGATCCGCCTGCGGAAGCGGAGGTGGGCAGTGGAAACCTTCAAATCTGACATACTGGATTGGAATTACTCACGTGGAACCATGCGTGATTTGCATGCTGCGGGGTTCCGGCAAAGCTTATCTGACACATCGCATCGGTGGATGGCAACGTCCCTCCCAAAGGCACATCGATCCAGAATGAGCGAGCAGGCGAGCGAGAGTAAACGAGAGTGTTAACTGTTTCGACGAGAATGTTGGAACTGCGAGCCCGCTGGTTTAAATTGGATGCGCGTGCCAGGTTCGTGTCTCGTGGCGAAATGGCCTATTTCTGCTATCCGTGTATGCACGTCACATAGAGAAAATTTCCTCCGTACTCTCAAATCCCCCCAAACGAGGCCTGTTTATGGACTGGCGTTCGGCTATTCAGGACGAAATCAAATCTATGATATTCGATTTCGGCAACATCGCAAAAGGGCCATGTTGGTCACTGTTATCTCAATAATAACGAAAAGAATTAAATAGGTAAATAAATAAATTTGCGAGAAGGCACTTGTTTTGCTGTGATCCATGCAATCAGTTTCTTCTTTTCTCCTAATGAGACCAAGCAGCTGCTCAGCTCTTCTAGAAGCGTATGCCGTGAGTCTAGATGCTGCACACAGCATTTGACCTAGACTGTAGAGCGGGGGCGCTGGCTCTTCGGATCATTCCTTCCTCAATTTTCTGGCTTCTGAGGGAAGTTCTATATGCTAGATAAACAGGTCGCAATACATAGTCGACGGAATCAGAATGCATTTCAGTTCATTCAATTTGTTGCGACATCAAGATTCTACCCAGTGAGCCAAATTGTAAATCACTTAAACCTTGGCAGGAGAGTAGTGTGCATGCATGGCTTGTGTACCAATCATCGGAGCCCTTTTCGTCATCGAGTGCAGCTCGCCGAAAAGACGATCTTTACCATCTGAACGTGTAAGATCAGTAATGGCTCACGTTCTCCAAGTCTAGCAATCCAGCCGCATTCTACAGGGCTACGGTGGGGGCGATCCACGTAGCACGAACAAAAAATAAGAACTCATTCCCAGCAAAATCATATAACTAATTTATTCAAATCAGACAGTTTAAGGCTTTAATGCACTTACGGTGCACTTATTTGTACCTCTGATAATTTCCATTAGTAGATAATCCTGGCATTAGTATTTATATCATTTTAAAACAAATAGACTTGCAGTTATTCTTGCCTTAAATTCTAATATTTGCATGACCTACGCAGCTTCATTTTTACTTTTGTATTATGTTAATAATAAGCAATAAATGGCTTATCCTGGTGTTCATAATGCAATAGTGAAGCTTTCTTGTTCACTTCCTCATTCGAAGCATTGCAGGCATCACCAACACCTCCACAAAAAATTTCCTCATCATGCATACAAATACATAAAACTTTAATTTCATGAGAACTTCATTGAACTTCATTTGAAGCCCATATAGCTTGCCTACTAGGATGACTTGTTTATATTCTAGTTTATCTCCCTAGTTTATCTTCCCATCCTGACTTATTGTGTGGATATACAATCTGTTTACAAGTTCTCCAAATCTATAATGTAATTCAAAAAATATTGTTGATTATATTGGAGGTAGTATTCAAACACTACATCAATAAATGATCAAGAAAGAACCGCATCTGTAAAAGCAACTTGTGGTAACAAAACTGCTTTCTTTACGTATGTGGCTGGAATATCTCACTGTAGACAATGATCTCGTCAGGTCGCATTTTTCAAGCCTGCACTTTACTTCTAATGGCAAAAGCCCACCTATTTTCATTCCGTTCCAAAAGAGCAATCTCAGTTTTTATTTTTGTTCCCATCCTTTCCAAAGATATTAAGAGAAGAAATAAAATCTTTGGTGTCGTACGGGTTTCATGATGGCATGGGAGGACATGATGTGCGCGCAATTCTCTACAAATGGTGGTGGGCTGATTGTTATAATTTTAGAAACATGAGGTGAGCAAATCTGCCCCAGATGGATTGTGTCTCCCCCGTGTTTCCCTCGAGACCTGCGCATTGTCGCACGGGCGCATCTCGCAAAGTAACTGAGTAAACGTCGCACAAGATGAATTCCACACGCGCTGACAATCTCCAGAAGCGATAGATATGCTCTCCAGTCTCGTAAGTCGCTGACATGTCACTGCACAATATTCGTGTCTGTTTCGCCGTTGTTGTATTTGTTGCCTAACAGCCGTTGGGAACTATGAAACCCAGGAAGTCTGTTCAATTTTTGCTTCGAGGTTTCAAGTTTCTAGATCGGTGTTGTATATCTAATGGAATTCGTTCTTCTTCTTCTTCTTCTTCTTTTCTAATTTTACCGTAACTGCGTTTCAGCCTTGTTCAATTGCTGAGTATGTTTCCATGACGTTCCATGTCGTTCGAAGAATCGTTAACCATGACGTCGAGTAGGATCTTCTTTGCTGGTCACCGCAGTTCCACAAAATCGCCACTACTACAAATGGTTTTCATTTCGGGTTAGAAAATCCCGAGTTACGAGCATCCATCAGAATTAGAAAGTTGACTTAATTGGTGGATCAATGTAGATTTCTTGCACAAGACGTGCCGTTATCCCGAGAATATACCAAAGCGTCGAAGCTTCAACCACCATTAGCGCATTATTCCGAGTACACGAAATTATATATGAGGCTAGAGCATTTTTCATCGCCGAATTTCAAAAGTTCTTGCACATGCGGTAACTGTCAAGCAGAACCTGCAGGCTAAGCACGTGATCACCTTTAATGGCAACGATTATGACATCTGTACCGCTCTCTCTCCCCCTCTCCCTCCCTATAATCCTGCTCCTCTGGGTTTGTCAGGGTCTCTTCGGATTCCTTGATGTTGTCCGAGCTGTGGAAACTAGGAACCTAGGAGCTACTGGATAGCCTGCTCTGTAGTCCAATCCGGTCAAGAGCATTTCGAAAGCAACAGTGAACTTAGTGAAGTGGAACCCAGGAGTTCAGTTTGGCGCGACCTTTCGCTCACGAGAAGGAATAAGATCTTATTCCTTCTAGGATCAATACTCCCTCTAGGATCTCCATGTCCCATAACATAACAGTAGATTGAACGCAAAGCGGACATTCTAGATCATGTCTGAAGCAGGCACCGCAATATTCCACCTGAAACTTCTTCTCTTTGTCTGTTTAAACAGTATCTTAAAAAAGTAGAAAGCGGTAAAACTGTTCAAAATTTAACAAAACTCCTATTTCCGAGTAGTAATACTCAATGGGATTACAGCATGTAATAATCTTTAGACTAACCGAGTTTTAAATTTTAATGCAAATTTGCACAAGTTCCTAAAACATGATATCATAATGATTTTCTCGTTACAACCTGAAGTAACGATTGACTGCTTAAAACGACTAGATGTTCCACTTGGGTTGTCTCTTCTCTCGTTCCAATAAATCTACGTAAGACTTCGTCAACCGGTTTCATATCTGCTGTGCATGCCGTTTATTAAGTGCGAAGTCGCTCACACTCGAGCACATCACGCAACAAGAGTGTGGAACCGCTGCTGGGTATCGATTCTGTTGCCCTCTCCTCACATTCATGTGACATCGAGTCGGCGGTGGAGCAGATGTTCATGATGCCTTACGTGCCCAAAATAATATATATATATATATATATATATATATACATACAGACGCACATATATAGCGGTGACATAACTATTTAATCATGTATGCAGGAGTGAGTTACCGTGTGACAAATGGCAGGTTTCTACCTTGCCCAACCTGCTGAAGAAACTCTAGTTGGGCCGAAGATGCGCAACCCAAAATGTTCAGGTTCGTACAGCAGGAAAACGGTAGGAAGGTTTTTAAAGAACCATGTATTATACACTGGGGGATTGCGTCGAATTCGACTCCGGCGCGCAGTAATTTTAGGGCTTCAATCGTACGCAAGAAGACCGACAGAAGGAATAAAAATTAGGTTACTTTTTAAAGGCTTTGTAGATGCTGAAAGGCTGGAAGTAAGATCATACTGCTTGGTCGAAGACAGCAGAATCTTGATGATCGATCGCCACGCCTAGGACGCGGAATCTTCCTACAGCATGACTCGTCACTTGTTGTTATTATCTTCATCATCATCATTACTGAAACAAAAAATTCGGCGAAGTATTGCCCGTTCCATCACAGCACTACTTCATATTTACCCCTAAAGTGTCTAGAAATGGCCTGTCTTCGCGCGCTTCGGACTTGAGGTGTGTGCCTCTGCCTAGAGATTATGACTAAGATGACAGATCACCATATGAGCCCGTGAATATATATTCGCCATGCCAACATAATACGAAAGCTCTCTCAAACAGAGTTCTTCATTGTGACTAATTTATCAGCGCTGCAGCACGTGTGCGGATGAAGGAGAGTGATCGCGGCGGTGGGTACTGATGTCCTTGCCGATTGAGGTGCTCCATGACACATATCTCTTGCTAATTATCTGCACTAGCTTCTCCACTAGCTGAATCGCTCGCTTCATAGTGGTTGTGCATACGTTTCCTGACTAACTGAGCCGTTCACTTCTAATTCTCTGTGCTCTCCAGTTGATACCATTAAAAGTAGTCATTAGTTTCACCGTCGAGCCGGTTGCTTGCACTAAGACGAATTCTGCTAGGTTGAAACTTTCAGAGAATTATATCTTGCATTCTGCATTTGTATGTTAGAGTTAGAATAGCAATCTCTCTATTTTTTCAAGGATATTCGAACTCCCCGTCCACCGCTTTTGATCTGCCAGGGACCTGGAAGTACGCAGTGCTGAAGTCATTATAGTAATGCGTCCTAACCTCAGAGTAGTAACTCCAGTTCCGATTCGTGATGTCGAACCAAGCATCTGATCCAAGTTATCGACAAATAGGGTCTTTTGTGTTCTCATGAGGAAAATCTGGATGTTTTAATGCTTAAAGCCTAGTGTAAGCACTGAAGGATCAATATCATCCTGACTGAAAAAGTAGGACTTCCTATTATCCCAAAACTTCAGTACAATACTGCGAATCCTCTGGCTCGAAGTTTGTTCTTTTGTAAGCCTGGATCGATCAGCACTTTATAAAGAAACTCAAAAGTGTCATTTCTTTGTTACCTGTGGAGACGGCAAATCAGCAGCGATGGGCGATTCCGTAAAGCTCTGGTCCGATTCTCCTCAAATTTGCAACGTGGATCCTCAAGTGATGCCACATTTCAGTTTCCACGCCAAATGCAACTACTGCGAGGGAATCATACCCTTCACCGTAGAGGTAGAAAGAGATATGCGAAAACATTACAACTCTAAGCATCGGTTGTACTGCAATGCGTGCAAGAAGAGCGATTTCAATACCAAGGAGGAGCTCGAAGCTCACTTATCCACATTTCACAAGGATGGCGTCTGTTTCAATTGCCATGGTTCCTTCAAACTGGCATCAGCCATTGCTATGCATGTAAGTGGCCTTCTGTTTAGGTTGTAGAATGTCTTACTCCCCACTGTAGGATCAATCTTGGGTCGATGTCCTAAGATCTATGTGGATGGAACAAGCAGCTAGTCTTATAATAGCCTGGTGATAACTTGCAGGTGCCTGTTGTACCGACCATGTTTTCAAATATAAATCAAGCCTCACCGAATTAGTCTGCGCTGCTACTTCAGTCTACTGAAATGTGAACATATGTTGTTGATTGTAGGTGGAGGGCCCAAAAAATGACTGCGCGGTTCCGCACGAATATCTGATTCGCGGATTGAGAGCCGTCACCCAAAAGATGCACAACACACCAATCGATCCAGACGCCTTATTTTCGCCTGTGAGCTGCTGTCCTGGGGGTGAAATCACGTAAGCTACTATGTTTCAAGCACATCATTTAAAAGTTTCGTCGCATTACTTAGTCAAGTACAGTATATTAGAAATCTAGACAATGCACTAGCTCCTAACATTCCGTACCGATTTTGGCTATCATAAGCATATATTGCCTTTCATGTTGTGACGTCCTATCAGAATTTTGAACCTGGGAAAGTAACGCATATGATCATGCATGAGAATAGACGTGGCTCATGCCTGTAAAATGTTAATCAGATTCGTATGAATATACATTAAAACTGTACATGCCCTCTTTCGAACATGAGACATTCTTCGACAAATTTCCGCATTCATAATTCAATCCTCGAAAAATGTTTCTAACCTCTTTATCAATGCGTGGGATTGTAGGATGCGGGGATTGAAGGATTTCAGGAAAACACTCCTCCTCGCCCACGAGAAAGCGTTTACCTATATGAAGCTGCAGGAGACTAGCTGCAATGATCTTCCAGCTGATCGATCGGTTGGCTCCAACAATAACGATGTTTCTGATTTCGTCTGTGTCAATACTTCAAAACCTTTTGATGCTGCTGCTGTTGCAGATCATGAAACTGGATGCGGGAGTCCTCAGGTAAAGCGAATGGTGAGCGGCGATATCAGCAACAGAGAGGATCAAGAGAGCACAGCTTCAGTTCTTTCCAAAGAATGGACCTGCTCCACCTGCGTGGATGCTAAGTTTACGAGTAAGTGTTTAGGCTCTGCATGCTGGAGACAAAGTTGAGCAAAGACAAGAGTGACCATGTACATCAGCGAGAGCTTTAGACTATTCCTAGATATGTAGACTATGAAAATTAATAAAATAAAATAATAAATAATAAATAAACTAAAACTGAAAGCAATAAACCATCAGCTATTCGAATGCAGGATATAATGAACTAAACTTGTCATTCGGGCCCCTTCCAATTCTCCGCGAAGTTATCTCGTATTTATTTATTTATTTATTTCCTTCTAATAACTCCTGCACTGACAAACTATGCAGGTCTTTCAAAATTGCTCCAGCATGTCGAACAAAAAGTGAGGAATAACTGGTGGATGTCATTGAACAGTTGAGCCTGGACTTGGATTATAGCCCGCAGTGTAGCTCCTAGTGCAGCTTTGTGTGAGGAAATAGGACTTAGCTAGTGAGTCGCATTTTGGTTTCTCTCAAGAACACAGTAGTATATATATTTACATACATATGAGAAATGTACAGCTAAATAATATGCAGAGTTCACCAGCACAGCTTTTTGGAATGAAAGCGTTTTGTCAGACTTTTGCTCCAACATGATCATGATCCTGGGAGATCTAGCTTTGGTGGAAGTGCCAGTCGAGTATCGTCCCAGTTTTTTCCATTTGATGCGATGATTTCTACCTTCCCACGTCTGCCTCTGATTTCTCCAGAAACTAAGGGGATCACTCAAGTACAAGGTAGGGGAGAACCCAAAATTTTCTGCTGTGAAGTCGACCGCCGAAGTTTACTGGACAAAGTATTTGTGTCCGATCAGTCATCCATGTGATTGGATACTAGCTATAAGATCGATTTATCCATCTATTAGGCACACATCGATCATATCTCCCATAATCACCTCAGTTCACAGGAGGGTAGCATCTAGCACGTTGTGTGCGTACTTGCATAATTTCAGATTTGCTGCAGTAAGTCGATCGATGGGAGGAAGGGCGATAAAACAAATATTCAGTTTACTTCGTTAACTAGTGGCGTTGGCTTTAACAGTTCGTGAATTCCTGAGGATTTGTGTAAATAGAAATCTATTTGAAGAGGTTCCATTTCGTTAATTTCATTTTGACCGATTCAGTCCAACTAGTAACAAATATCAGACTCTCTCTTCTCGCAACTCGCCCTGATTGGCTGACATCCAGCTATCTTCATCAGCAGCAGAAACGTTAGCGTCAAACCCCCAAAGAAGCGGCGTACTCTGCAAAATAAAAAAATTGTGAATTGTTGTATGTCACACTCACCGTGGTGAGGTTCTAGTCAGGCCAACTGTGGTGCTCGTGTTTTCTTCTTCCTTTTCTACAAGTGAGCTGAACTGTTGAGTGATTCTGTTCAAGGTCACACTAACCCACCTACACAGGAATCGCGAATGAACAGACTCTCTTCATTGGGTGCCAAATTGAAGGAATGAACTTGAACAAGGCTCTACTTGCAAGCAGCTCTGGAAGACCACACAGCATGTGGGTTCCGTGGAACTGGGCAGAGGCCTGCTCTCCTTTTCTTGGCCCCAAGTTTTGTCTTCTTCCCAAACCGTAGAGGGCCTCAAGCTCGGGAATAGCTGTACAAAATGAGGAGCTGCGAATGCATGCCTTAATTGGGTCCTTTCCACCTATTTTATACACCTAAATACAGGTCTACCTTTTAGAGCAAACTGACGAAAGTGGCAAAACGACCTCGACGGCTTCGCCTGCGATTGGTTCACAACTGATGGGCAACAGACCAACGTATCACCGTCACAAAGCATCATCTTCACAGTGTGCGTCAAGTCCGATGGAGCGGATCGATGCCAGTGAGGTTGGACATCGAACAGTCCTGGAGTCGATTAACCTCCCGCCATGTGCGTCCTCCCGAAAGCTCCGTCCGCAGTCCCTCACCGCAGTCCTCACCATTGCTTGAGTGATGTCTGCTTGTGCTCAGCCTCCTGTTTGTGTCCATGTGAGAGATTGACCGTCTATGCTCCGCTGAAGGGTGGATGCTTGCTCACTGGTATCGAGATGGCTCCAATTCCTAATCTAGAGGAGCAAGGTTTTCATTTTTGTCTTCTCTCTTTTTTGCACAAAAACGGGGTACCAAAAGACAGCCCTACTCCTAAAGAAAACTCGTAGTGCCTATGTAGGCTGAGTTAAGTTAAGAGTATTGTGTGATGCAACTGCAAGCTACATTGATTTATTCTAAAATTCTAAAATAATTATCTTATGCAACCTAGAATCAATTAGGTGTTTTTCCATCTAAGATTTGTCCAATTTTTTAACAATACTTGTTTCATATTTAGGATGTTTTTCTAATTTCTTCCTTATGGCTTCTCAACTCATTTGCCCACATTCTATTAAATTCTCCAAATTGTAATTTTAATATAGATGTCACTCTATATCTCTTGTTCGAAGATAAATTTTTTACTTTGTATCCAAATAATCTATAAAGTATAGTCTTCTTAACAATGACAAGATCTTACAAAACTATTTAAACTAAAGAAAGATATTATTTATAAAAATTGCTTGCTTCTACATAAGATCTTTGTAAATCCTCTTTTTCTAACAATTAAATGTTTAATTTTATAGAATAGAGGTGGTCCAATTCTAAATTCTATAAGTTTGATGGTACTTCTAAATTTATATAATAGAGAGAACACAAGGCACAATAGATGTGGACTAAATTGCCATCTTTATATCTTGATAATAATTCCTTAGTGCCATAGAAGCTAAATAAATATTTTTTCTTTGTGGGTACAAGGTTTAGACCAAATTTTATTCCAATGTAAAAAAATAAAAATAAAATTCTAATACAAAGTCCCATTTAGTTTCCATTAAGTTGATATTAGGAGGATATCAAATTTCTTTAACAAAAATATCAAAGAAAAGACTACATTGATATCTATAGAAAATTATTTGTGAAACAAGGTTGAAAATAGAGTACTAAGTATAAAAAGACGCATCTATAGTAAAAGTGGAATTCTTTTATTGATTGAATAATAAAATATAAGGGATAAGTTTAAAAAAATATTATGAGTATTACATTTATACAAATTAGATTTTAAATTACTTTAAGAGATCCAACTAAAGTTAGAATATTTATTTTGATGACACTATCTTAAATGATAAGTTAAATTTTATATTTTTAAAAATGATATATATTTTTTAATAGATATATGATTGATTTTTTTTGGATCTTTTTATGTATTTTTATTAAGTATCTGTCTTAAATATTAGCTCAATTAATTGGTTAGATTTAAGATTATCAAATTCAAGTGTATTAGGATACTAGTAGCTAGTAGTTTGAAGATCAATAAGGATATCAATAATATATAAAGATTTTTTAATTAGATTAAGTTAAAACTTTATAATTTAGTAGTTGAATTAAAATATAAAAATTATATTAATTTAGAAAAAAAATTAATAGTGAATAGATAAAATCTTATAGTTGGAAATTAAACATCAAAGTTGAAGAAGCAAGTTGATTAACATTTAGGCATTTTTTTTGTTTTTTTCTCAATTTGTATAATTGATCATTTTTTAAAATTTTAAGCTTATTAAAAAATAGAAGACATAAAAAAATAAAAAACCTAATTTTTTTTAAAAAATAATAAAAAATTTATAGAATTTTAAAGTTATTATTTCATATTTAAAATTCAATAGGATTTACTTAGAATTATTTAAGAATTTGATAAGATTTATTTAAAATATCTTAATAATTTTATATGATATTTTAGGATTTTTTAAATATTTTTTTTTAGAAATTATTAGATTATATGTAGGATTTTTTGGAATTTTATAGGTTTTTTTAGGATTTTATAAGAAATTATTCAAGATTTTTTTTAGAATTTTTATAATTACTTGAATTTTTAATTTAGGTTTAATAGAATTTATTAAAAATTATATTTAAAATTTCTAAAAAGATTAATATTATCAAAATATGTAGTTTAAAATATTTTATTAATTTTTTTGATTATAAAAAAAAGACTAAAAATTGAATCTATTCCTTCTAAATTTAGATGCCTTATACATTCTTAAATTAAAATTCACATGATACACACTAGTCACATAATTTTTATTATTATTAACTTTTTAATATTTTTAATTAAATAATAAACTTTTAAATAATAGTAAAACAATTTTTTTAATTGTGCATCTATACTATAATTAAAAATTTAATAGATTGAAGTAAAATGAACCATTTATCTTCATTAATTCCTTTGTATTAAGTAAAAAATTAGAAGACTATTAAGAATAATTGATTTTTTTTATATCAAATAATTTATTTTAATTTTTAGATTAATATTAAGCACTAATTTTTTGAAGTATAATATTCCAAATTTTACAAAAATAATAGTATAAAAAATCCATATATAAACAACGTTAGTTGAGAATTATTACAAACATCTTTATCTACTATTTGTCAAGGATATGAATCATAAATAATAAAAACTTCAATACATTCTTGTGTTATAAAAAAAATAATAAATATTTATTCAAATTATTATAGCATTAAAAATAGAATGGCTATTACTAAAAAAAAAAGATTAAAAATCCTTAAAATAAGACTAAGACCAAAAAAATATTGACAAGAGTGAAAAAAGCTTCAATCTTGTTTTTATATATACTATCTAATTAGAAGTTATATAGAGATGTTCTATAGGAACTCTACTTTGTATCCAACTTGTAACAAATGTGTTTAACTTCTTAATCAAGTTTTTGACATGTCTACCATTTGGCCAACTTGTATCATAATTTGCCAATATATGCAACATGTAACGAACTTGTTGGCTAAGATTCTAATTTATCAATGAACTTAAAACACATATAAAGTTAAATTTGTATCTATAATACTTTTAAGAAGCTACTCTCTAAAATATTATTAAATCTACATATATTTATCTTTTTTATAATACTTCTATCTATGTAATTATGTAAGATTGTGATATTATCTTTCTTTTTAGAAATAAGTTCTAAAAAGAATAGTATTTATATTAAGATTCTTTATTTTTATTTAGATAAATACTATTAATAAAAAACTTTAATCTTTTCTATAAAATTTTGAATATTTTTAGATGATTTCTATGTCCATTTATTAATATCATATATGTGCCAATGTATAAGATATTTTAATCTATTTCAATTTGACCTTGAATCTAAGATTTCTTCCACTTCAAATTCTTGATTATTATCTATCATAAACATACATGCTTATTCTAATATTTATCTATATAATTAAATAGAAGTAGGTAAAAATAGATTTATTTTATAGTATTTTTTAGAATAGCTTTCTAGAAGCTTTATAGATGCTATTTTGATTTTATATATATTTATAGATGATTGATAGGTTAGAAACTTAGTCAAGTAGTTAACCATATATTGATAACTTTTAGAAAAAGCTAACTATGTGGCACACATATAGAAAACTTATCTTGCAAGTTAAGATGGATATCTTGTAAAGTCAACATGTTTTGGAGATCATATAGGATGTCACCACATAGCTTCTACTTAAGAGTATATATGGAGACAAGAATAAAGCCTTCTTCACTCTTATTAATACCTTTTTAGTTCTTATTCTTCT